GCTAGCTGTGGTCCATTCTGTCTTGTACTACCACTTTATACCTCAAGAAGTGATAACCTGACAATATAGCTCAGTCCTGACCTTTTCCAGTCCCAAATGTAAGCAAAGAACATCATATCAAACTCCATTCACAAATCTTTGAATTTAAAGCTCCTTTGCTTCTCAGCACACATTCTTCTTTGTCCTAGTCAGAGCTGCTGGAAATCGCCTTGGTACCGTATTCCGTGTCGTCAAACTGGCCTCCGTCTGTCTCCTCCTGGCTGTCTAAAGCTAAACACCAACATTCCCCCAGTGGTCCGAGCTCCCAGTCCAGTCAGAGTCAGCTAATACGACTACTAGCTGCAAGATAGTAACAGCAGTTACAGTTAGCAGCAGTTAGCAGTTATTCTGGTGATATGCTGCCCCCAGTTTGTTTGAGGTGTGAATGCAACAAGAGACCAATTCTTACATATTGCACCTTTAAAAAACTAATAAACAATGTCATATTTATAATATAATATACCACTTGTAAAATGAAGACTCAAACATTTAAAGTCTCTGTAAACCAATATATGCAATGTTTTGCATAACATAACTCTAAACAAGGTTTAAATTAGTAAGTGGCTTTTTCACATTTTGTAACACATGTCACCCAGCATGCCCCATTGTGGGCAGCTCTGCTGTAAACACTTACAACTGAGTCATTCTCACAGTTATATACTTGTATTAGTTTTAACAGTGTAACAATATATACAGTGCTTAATGTTCAACATTTTTTTCTCAATGTTGGACTAACTCACAAAACACTATATATTGTGTATAGTGTCCCTGCTTGTGAACAGGGAACTGAGTGAAACCAGAATCAAACCTAAAAGGCAATTTATATGGCTGCACCATATAGAGAGCCAAATTCTAGATGTGTGTGTTGTTTTATACATATTTCTGTGTAATGATGTTTGATCAATGCTTGGCTGCACAGCATGAATTCGTAATGGAGCCATCAAGAACACTGAACCTAAAATAA